ACACAATGGCTTACACCTCTAATCCTAGCACTTTGGGAGCCTGAGGCCGGTGGATCACCTGAGGTCAGGAGTTAAAGACCAGAGACAGGGTTTGGCCAACATGGCAAAACCCTGTCTCTACTAAAAATACAAAAATAAGCTGGGTGTGGTGGTGCAGGCCTGTAATCCCAGCTACTTGGGAGGCTGAGGAAGGAGAATCTCTTGAATCCGGGAGGTGGCGGTCTCAGAGAGCCGAGGTTGTGCCACTGCACTCCAGCCTGCGTGATGGGAGTGAAACTCCATCTCAAAAAAAAAAAAAAAAAAATTGCAAATTAAACCTCCAGGGAGTTAACTTTTTTTTTTTCCTCTGTCTCATATTTATAGAAATAAAAACACATTGATGATGAAGTTGTTGGGAAACAGGTATATTGCTGGTGTGCATACAAAATGGCACAGTCCCTGTATAAGGGTAAATGTACCTGTAACTACCTCTCTTATCCTTTATTCCAGCAGTTCATTTCTGGGAATCTGATCTACAGATATAGCAGCAGAACACATTCAAAATGATATACAAACAAGATTATTCACTGTGGTATTGTTTGTAAAAATGCAAGGTTGGAAGCGATCCAAATGTCTTTCTATAGGGGACTGGTTGAAGATGGTGTGTCCATACGTACTGGGATATAATGATTAGAAGAAAGCAAGTAGCAGAAATACACGTATAGTACGTTACCTTTTATGTAAGAAATAGAAAGTATTGCCTAAAAATACAATGGAAGAATAAATATAAATCCTGGAATATGGCTAGATATGGTGGCTCACTCCTATAATCCTAGCACTTTCAGAGGCAGAGTCAGGAGGATTGCTTGAGGCCAGGAGTTTGAAACCAGCCTGCTAAACATAATGAGACCCCCTTCTCTACAAAAGAAAAATGTTTAAAATTAGCCAGGTGTGGTGGCACATGCTTGTCATCCCAGCTACTTGAGAGGCTGAGGTGGAAGGATGGCCTAAGCCCAGGAGGTTGAAGCTGCAGGGAGCTGTGATGGCACCACTGCACTCTAGCCTGTGCAACAGAACAAGACCTTGTCTCAAAAAGAAAACAAAAAAACTGGGGTTGATCTATCAGAAAAGAATGGGTCATTGTTATAGCTACTAATATTAAGATTTCATTCTTTGGCAGGGTGCAGTGGTTCACACCTATAATCCTAGCACTTTGGGAGGCCAAGGTGGAAGGATCGTTTGAGTTCAGGAGTTGGAGACCAGCCTGGGAGACCCTATCTCTATAAAAAAATGAAAAAATAAGCCAAGCATGGTAGTGTATGTGTGTGGTCCCAGCTACATGGGAGGCTGTGATGTGAGGATCACTTGAACCCAGGAGGCAGAGGTTGCAGTGAGCTGAGATTACACCACTGCACTCCAGACTGGGTGACAGCAAGATCCCATTTCAAAAAAAAAAAAAAGAAAGAAAAGCAAATTCAATATTTGCTTGAAAAAATCGCGGAGACAGTAAATCCTAAATGTTCTCACCAAAACAATAAGTGATGGCACCACTACACTCCAGCCTGTGTCACAGGAAGACCCTGTCTCTAAAAGAAAACAAACAAAAACTGGGGTTGATCTATCAGGAAAAGTTGGTCATTGTCAAACCTACTAACATGAAGAATTCCCACAAATATTTTATATGATTATAAATATAAAATTATATTAATTTTAAGGAGCTAAATACCTGTTTTCAGGGGAATTTACTGAAACTCAGATGTCTCCTTTTCTTGAAAGTGTCACATAGCTCAACTGTGTATAAAGATAATGTGAACATTTCAAAATAGGACAAAAGTGAGATTGTTATAAATAGGGTGGGATAAGTACATCATAATTTAGAAGAAATTTCATTTCAGTCTATGTTACAGAGTTAAACTCCAAATATATTGGAGTTAACTATTAAAATAAATCATAGAAAAGTGGTCAGAAAACAGAGCAGAACTTTGTCAGATCTTGTGAGACTTATTTTTTTTTCTGGTTTTAAGTTTGTAGTTAGACAGGAAGACTTCAGTTAAAAATTATTCAAACAAGAAATGATTGCCGGGCGTGGTGGCTCACGCCTGTAATCCCAGCACTTTGGGAGGCCAAGACGGGTGGATCACGAGGTCAAGAGATTGAGACCATCCTGGTCAACATGGTGAAACCCCGTCTCTACTAAAAATACAAAAAATTAGCTGGGCATGGT